CTGGCCCCTGGCATCCGAGGGCCAGGAGCTTCCCTGGAGAAGGCGTAGGGGAGCCCCAGTGTCAGCACAACCCTTCACGTGTCTCTCCCGGCAGGCTGACCTCCTCCTCCTCTCCAGCAGCGAACCCCATGGGTTGTGCTACATAGAGACCGCGGAGCTGGATGGGTAGGTAACCCCTAATCGCCTCGGGTGCAGGGGAAGGCGAGAGGTGGGAGTGAGAATGGGCTGCGGGCGGCGCAGGAGCTGCCGGGGACCTGAAACCGGGGAGCATCTGCGAAGGCCCTCCCTGCCAGGCTGTCGCTAACCCCGCGCATGGTGCCTTCTTGCCCGCAGAGAGACCAACATGAAGGTGCGGCAGGCCATCCCCGTCACCTCGGAGCTGGGTGACACCAACAAGCTGGCTCGGTTTGACGGTGAGTGCCTGTGACCAGTCCTCTGCGACGGGGCAGCCCCTGGGTTTCCTCCTCCATCACCTACCGTGGGTCCACCCTGGAGAGACCAGGACCATCCACAAGGTGTTGTGGTCCTGTGGCTTGAAGCGGATCTCTGGGGAGCTGGGGACGGTGCTGGGAGCACTGGGATGGAGCTGACCACGTGGAAAAGGCACGTTACAGCTGAGCCATCCCCTGCGCCCAGGCGAGGTGATCTGTGAACCCCCCAACAACAAGCTGGACAAGTTTGGCGGGACGCTGTACTGGAAGGAGAACAAGCATCCCCTGAGCAACCAGAACATGCTGCTGCGGGGCTGAGGAACACCGAGTGGTGCTTCGGCCTCGTCATCTTTGCAGGTGGGCTGGGACAGCTGCCGCCGCTGCACTGCGCGGGAGGGAGAGACCCTGCTGACGTCCTTCCCTCTCCCCAGGGCCGGACACAAAACTGATGCAGAACAGTGGCCGGACCAAGTTCAAGCGGACGAGCATCGATCGGCTGATGAACACGCTGGTGCTCTGGGTACGTGGAAGGCAGATCCCAGGAAGCCCCGGCTCTGGGCCGGTTGGGGCTCTGATGTCCCATCCTGTCCCCAGATCTTCGGGTTCCTGGTGTGCATGGGGGTGATCCTGGCCATCGGCAACGCCATCTGGGAGCATGAGGTGGGCGTCTGCTTCCAGATCTACTTGCCCTGGGACGAGGGGGTGCACAGTGCCTTCTTCTCCGGCTTCCTCTCCTTCTGGTCCTACATCATCATCCTCAACACTGTGGTGCCCATCTCGCTCTACGTGAGGTAGGGCAGGGGCCGAGGGGCTGGGCTGGGGGTGTGTGAGGGGCAGGCGCCAGGAATTAGGGGTGCCCTCTGGGGAGGGGAGACGGGGATGGAGACCCACGGGCAGAGCTGTGTGCGTGGGGTGGGCGCGGGCTGCTCTCCTGGTGACGGGCCACGTCTGCCCTCGGGGATACC